TGTGTGTGTGTGTTGTGCGCGCGCTGTACTGTGTGTGTGTGTTGTGCGCGCGCTGTACTGTGTGTGTGTGCGCGCTGTACTGTGTGTGCGCGCGCGCTGTACTGTGTGTGTGTGTACGCGCGCATGCATTGCACTGTGTGCACACGCATGTTGGGTGTGTGCCACTGTAGTGCGTGTGCACTGTACTGTGTGCACGTGCGCGGGATGTTAAAATTAGGTTATTTTACTAAATGAGTAGTCGATTGACCCCTCGGTCAGTCTCTAGGGGAAGGCAGCCGGCTCAGTCCTGACTCATGGCAGGACCAAGCTCTAGTGTGGCTCTGCAATTTAAAACGCGGGGGGGAGGGGGGCAGCTCCTCTCAGTCCCTCCTGCTGCTGGGTCCATGACCAAACTAGGGTCAGCTGTGTGGTGGCTGCCTCTGTGCAATTCAAAGGGGCAGCCGCGGAGCCTGGGGTCAGTTGGGGGCTCCCCATTTGATCCTGGGCTCCCCGCAGCACTTCCCCAGGACCCAGGCTGCGTTTTAAAGGGGTGGTGTTTTACAGGGGCAGCTGCCGTGGAGCCCAGGGGCAGAGCTGGGCACTCCTCAGCTGACCCTGGGCTCCTAGTGGCATGCAGTGTAACATGGAGTCCCCTGCTGACCCTGGGTTTCACCGCTTTGAAATGCACAAAGTGGGGGCTCTTGTGTATTTCAAACCAGGCACCTGCTTGCATCAACATTCCTCCTTTGCAATGTACAAGTGATTGTGGACTAGTCAATTAGCCACATTTTAACATCCTTAGACCAAACCCTGCTGCGTGCTATGGGGCAGGCTGCCCTGGCTCCCACTGCCTTTCATCCTGCAGAGCCACAGTGGGGTTTGGTCCTTTCACAAGCAGGGACTGAGCCTGGCTGCCTCCCAGCCGGCAGCAGCCCGTCTGTGAGGGAGGCCAGCTCCTCACTGGGATCCCCACCCCCCCACGCGGTCAGGAGCTGCTGCTGGGGAGAAGGGGCTGCTGCTGGGGAGAAGCCTCCCCTCTGTTTCCCCCGCCTCCCTGTCTCTGATAGAGGCAGCAGTGAGAAGTAGGGGGGAGACAGGCGGCACTGCGGAGCTGGTGCTGGCGGGAACTGGCTCCCACCAGCTCCTGCTACCCCTAAGCCCCCCACCCCATGCTGCTGTCTTTATATCAGGGGCAGCAGTGCTGGAGGGAGGGGGCAGGTGGGAGCTGGTGAGCATGGGGAGCCAGTGCACGCGTTTACATAATTAAAAGCATTTTAACGTCCCTAATTTGGAGGCAGTTCTTTAGAAGGAAATGAGCTGTGACCTTTGGTCCAGATACTGCCAGCATAGCAATTGCCGATCATGACAAAGCTACACCCATGCAAACTATGCTATTTCACAGTCAGAATCAGATCGTATCCCTCCATGCTTTATGAAAATTGGCTTATGAATTTGCATAACACAGAGTTGCTTTATGCAAAACAGGACATGTAACATCATTTTTACAGTTACAATTAGGGATGTGAACTAACATGTATGTGTAAATGTGTAACTTCGGATTTTTTTTTTAGCGCTTACATGTACACACATGTGGGGGAGGAGGGTGGGCGGAAGCCAGTGCTTCCCCCCTCTCCCCGATAAAGCCTACTACCCCTGTGTTGTTCCCCCTGACCACCAGCAGCTATAGGTGTGTGTGGGGGGGTGCTTGGTGTAACCGAGAGCAAGAGTCCCTCTAAGCTGCACACCTGTGCGGCCTCGCACAGCATAAGCGCCCTCGTGGAGCCTGGAGTTAGTGGGACTTCCTGCTGGCGGCCCAGCCTGCTTGTGGAGTTCCGCATTCCTCCTTTGAAATGTTCAAGAGCCCTGGACTAGTCGATGGAAATTCCATCAACCACTCGACTAGTAAATTACTCATTAGTTAACCAGTTAGAATCGCCTGTCAAAGGCTCTGAGAGCTGCCAGTAGATCCCGATCTGCTGGTTGGTGACCACTGATACATTGCAGTCCACAACTTCACCCACTCCTGTAATAGACCCCTTACCGCTGGCTCAGTTTCTGAAATGTTCAAATCATGATTTAAAGACTCCAAACGAATCCACATTTACACTAGTTGAAACCAGCAGATTGACCCATGATGGCAGAAGGCAAAACAAAAAAACCTGCCAATCTGATCCCAGATTGACCCATGATGGCAGAAGGCAAAACAAAAAAAACCTGCCAATCTGATCCCAGTGAAAATTCCTTCCCATCCCCAAGGATGCTGAGCAAGATCCACATCAGCCAGATACATGGAAAGAATTCTATGTCGTAACTCAAAGCCCTACCCTTCTAGTGTTTCCTCACTGACCATTGGAGATGTTTGCTGCTTGCTGTTACAGATCGGCTACAGATCAGATGCGATCAGATGCCGTTGTGTAAGCAGTCTCATCATACAGTTCCTTCCATGAGGTTAGCAAGCCCAGTCTTGAAGCTAGTTACAGGATTTAATGTTCTGAATACACATCAGAGTAGCTGCCATTGCCAGAGTTGGCATTTAAAAGTAATAGTAAAAGTGGTACTTTTAAAGTTAGAGAGATTTGTAGAATCACCCCAAAGGGAAGAGGGAAGTGGAGTTCATGCTCAGAGAAAACAGGTGAATGTTAAGATTAGAGCCCTGAAAATCTGCAGCTATCCACTTACATGGCTGTGGATATCTGCAGCTCATTTTTTAACACTGAGGGGGTGAGGACAATCGGCTTTTAAGCCAGCTTTTCCTCCTCCCCCCTTGCTGCCTCCCTCTGATAGAGGCTGCCACTAGTCAAGTCACTATTCAACTATCCAGTAAGCACATGCTAATTGGGGAGTTGGCTAGATGCTTACATAGATGCTTGGTTGTTTGTTGTGGCTTATATGAGGTTTTATAGACAATTTGGATGGCAAAAGAATCAGCAGAGTTTAACTGTTGAGCTTTATTTGTAATTTAATTTTGAAGGATGATGGTATTGACTGAATTTGAAAGTGTAGGACTATCACTGCTGGATCTTGACCCTGTCTCAGTGTGTTTTTTGAAATAGTTCATTTAAGGCTGTCTGTGCAGCTGGGCCAAATGCATATCCAAAGTTGACCTGAAACATCTCTTGCTGTACCAAATCTTGAGGGGTTTTTTCTGGTTGTCAGTTATGTTAAGTAACATCATGGTTTTGTGATGTGGACAAATGTGCATGTCTGTTAAGGTTTTATGTTGAAAATGCAGTACCAGAATTATATGCTGGGCTTGCCTGCTATACCAGGAGTCAGGACTTGATGACTGAGGAGTTACTTCTGGTCCTATGTTCCTTTGGAAGGCCCACAAATGCTTGACCAAGATAAGCATTCACTGCTTAGAAAAGCGTTAGGTAGCATTCCTTACAACTGCTCGGGCTGTTTCATTTTAGGTATCTGCAAACTGAAAATCATGGGTCAGTACGTCTTGAAACCTCTTCGGCTAAAACATTAATGGATATTGGAACTCGGAGGATCTTCTCATCCGATCATGATATCTTCAGGGAAAGTGTGAGGAAGTTCTTCCAGGAAGCAGTGGTTCCTTTTCATGCAGAGTAAGATATGGTTCAAATATTTTGTTGCCTCCTAATTCTAGGCTGTGTCTCTGAACTCTCTGGGAATGATGTTCTGAAAACAGGTGAACTGTAAAATGTATTTTAATCTTTAAAAGATTGGGTTAAGATGTGTATATTCTGGATTGCATAGCTCCTACATCACACATTTGAAGGAAGAAGAAAAAAAAAGTACAGGCAGTCCCCGACGCGTCTGGGCTGCCCGCTGCCCACGTGTTCCGCCGCTTTGCTCCCCGTCCCCCTGGTCTGCAGACCAGGGGGACGGGGAGCAAAGCGGCGGAACACGTGGGCAGCGGGCAGCCCAGACGCGTCGGGGACTGCCTGTACTTTTTTTTTCTTCTTCCTTCAAATGTGTGATGTAGGAGCTATGCAATCCAGAATATACACATCTTAACCCAATCTTTTAAAGATTAAAATACATTTTACAGTTCACCTGTTTTCAGAACATCATTCCCAGAGAGTTCAGAGACACAGCCTCGGAACACGTGGGCAGCGGGCAGCCCAGACGCGTCGGGGACTGCCTGTACTTTTTTTTTCTTCTTCCTTCAAATGTGTGATGTAGGAGCTATGCAATCCAGAATATACACATCTTAACCCAATCTTTTAAAGATTAAAATACATTTTACAGTTCACCTGTTTTCAGAACATCATTCCCAGAGAGTTCAGAGACACAGCCTGGAATTAGGAGGCAACAAAATATTTGAACCATATCTTACTCTGCATGAAAAGGAACCACTGCTTCCTGGAAGAACTTCCTCACACTTTCCCTGAAGATATCATGATCGGATGAGAAGATCCTCCGAGTTCCAATATCCATTAATGTTTTAGCCGAAGAGGTTTCAAGACGTACTGACCCATGATTTTCAGTTTGCAGATACCTAAAATGAAACAGCCCGAGCAGTTGTAAGGAATGCTACCTAACGCTTTTCTAAGCAGTGAATGCTTATCTTGGTCAAGCATTTGTGGGCCTTCCAAAGGAACATAGGACCAGAAGTAACTCCTCAGTCATCAAGTCCTGACTCCTGGTATAGCAGGCAAGCCCAGCATATAATTCTGGTACTGCATTTTCAACATAAAACCTTAACAGACATGCACATTTGTCCACATCACAAAACCATGATGTTACTTAACATAACTGACAACCAGAAAAAAACCCTCAAGATTTGGTACAGCAAGAGATGTTTCAGGTCAACTTTGGATATGCATTTGGCCCAGCTGCACAGACAGCCTTAAATGAACTATTTCAAAAAACACACTGAGACAGGGTCAAGATCCAGCAGTGATAGTCCTACACTTTCAAATTCAGTCAATACCATCATCCTTCAAAATTAAATTACAAATAAAGCTCAACAGTTAAACTCTGCTGATTCTTTTGCCATCCAAATTGTCTATAAAACCTCATATAAGCCACAACAAACAACCAAGCATCTATGTAAGCATCTAGCCAACTCCCCAATTAGCATGTGCTTACTGGATAGTTGAATAGTGACTTGACGCCCCTGAGAACCCCCCACCAGCAGACCCTCCCACTGCCAGCCTCTTGTTTCTGGCTGTTAATACATTTAAAAGGCAGAGCTGCAGCGAGGTTAGTTTTGGGCCTGGGAGCTAACCCGGCTGCGGCTCCCCCCTTATCAACTAATCGACTAGTTGATAGAAATTCCATCGACTAGTCGATTCATTGATTACATTTAATATCCCTACTTTTAAGCTAGCTCCCCGTGTGTACCGGCTCCTGCCTGCTGCTCTGCGATTCCCTGGAGTTGGACTGGGAGCCGTTTGTGTAACTGGTTACCCATTTAGATGGCTACACGCTTACATCCCTAAATGGAACTACCTTGTTTCAGGCACAATCTTCGGTATATTTTAGTTTTGTAATCTCCTAGTCCAAATTACTGTTTTGAAAATTGTTTGTAATAAAATGAGTATGGTTGTTCTAAATCTAGGACAACAGTTTCATTTCAGAATTAATTTCAAGATAATTGAGACTCGTCAAGTTAATATCAAACAGTTGTCTTTAATTCTGGAAGTGAGGGTGATGGGATGAAATATGGTATGGTGTCCTTCCACTTAAATTTAGTTGGTTAGCTATACTCCAGATACGGTGATTGTTCTTTCTAGGGCTATAGTGTGTGTTTGCAAAACCATAAACAGGATATAGATCCCATTCTCCAATATGGAGCATCTTCCAACTAAACATTTAAGCAGTGTATTAATCATGTACTGGGAAAGCAAACAACAAAAAGGTGAATTTAATATATTCCACATGTTTACATTTATTCCATCCCTTCCCTCTCTTCTCTCCATCTCCACCTGGAACATCTCTCTTATTCCTGAAATAATTGTTCTGTTTTTGTACAATCTCCAGAAGATAAATATGAGAGAGAATAGAACAAACTCTCACAACCAAATAATATTTATTATTTGTATTGCTGTAGTACACGGGGCCTTTCTCATAGACCAGGGCCCCAATCAGATAAGACCTGTACAAAAACAAGTAAAAATATTCCTTTCCCTGGGGCTTAATATAGCTTCTCTTCTTCCATGTATAGTTACTAAGTGATGCTGTTCAGGCCAGGCAACAACAATTCCGGGCCCTGAGGAAGAACAATCAGTGGGCCCCCCTGCTTGTACATCCTGTAGACATGGTCTGCCTGATGTTTTTTGCACCTGTGCTGATTGGTTCCCAGCAAGCTGTCAGCCAGTTAGGGTTGCCAATGGTGTAATCATGCAAATGCAAAGTCCCTTTCCCCGCCCCTTTCCCTGAGGCCACGCCCCATCCTGTTCCTTCCCTGAGGCCCTGCTCACTCCATTCCCCTCCCTCCAGGGCTTGCTCTCCCCTGACCCCATCCTCACTCACTGTCACCAGGCTGAGGCAGAGGTTGGGTGCGGGGTGAGAATGGAGGTGCGGGCCCTAGGAGTGCGTTTGGGTGCTAACTCAGGGCTGTGGCAGGAGGGAGTGAGGAGGTTGGTGCTTACCTTGGGTGGCTCCCAAAAGTGACTGCCATAGCCCTTGCAGCAACTTCTAGCCAAGAGGCCTGGGGGTTTCTACACGCTGCCACCTGTCGGCACTGTCCCTGCAGCTTTCATTGGCTGCAGGTCCCAGCCAGAGAGCTGAAAAGTCATCATTAGGGCAGGGGTAGCACATGGAGACCACTCCCCCGGGGCCACAGGAACGGCATGGAGCAAGGGCCAGCAGGCAACCTGTCTTAGCCCCGCTGAGCTTCTGGCAGTGGTGGCTTGGAGGGAGGCCTCAGGCCCTTTTAAGTTGCTTTGCTGCCTCCTGTTGCTGTGCCTGATGCCATTCAACCAAACGAAATAGAGAATATAAAACACCATCCACTTAAAATCATTCTTGTGTCTAAAATAACTTCCCTTTACTGTGATAAGTAAGACCCGCTGCTTGAATACCTGAAAGAGATTAGAGGAAAGGTTTTTGTTTAACTGTGTTTTGTGCGTTTGACAGTGCTTTGTGGACTGTCTCGTTCCCCTTCTCTGTAAAGATGGGTTGGTTTCCTTCTCTTGTTACCACGGATCCTTTCACATGGCAACGGGGGCCAAGAGAAACACATACAGGAAAATGTGTCTGCAAAGCCAAACGAAAAAGACAGCCCCACCTGTGCATGTCTCTCTGACTGTGGTCCCCAGACTGCTTCCTACCCGTAATGTTATCTGTCTGTCCCCTTCCCCATATCCATGGCTGGGAAGGGGAGTCATGGGCAGGGCTGGAGGCTCCACCATGCTGGGAGCCAGGGGCCGGGGCTGGGAGTGCAGCTGCGGTTGGGGCTGGGGCTGGGAGCAGAGCCGGAAGTGGAGCTGGGGCCAGGATGGGGTTGTGTCCTGGAGCAGAGATGAAAACACAGTAGGGCTCGGGGGTGCTTCCTTTCCACTCCGGTGGGGCCTGGCCTGACCCTGCCACACTCCCCTGAACATTCCTCCGTGATCCCCTAGTTTGGGGACCACTGCTCTAAGAAATCATCCAGTGGAGATGGGTTCGTCCTTTACATTTAAGCTGATAATCCAAGGAAGGTTTCCGGAGAACTAGCCGTGCATGCTAGGGATGTTCACTTTCGACTAACCAGCTAGTCGATGGATTTTCTGTCGACTACTTGCTTAGTTGATAAGGGCGTGGGAGTGGGGCACTCACTATCCTGGTGGCACCTCTGCCTTTTAACTGTAGCATGAGCTCCACGGGGCTCTTGCGACATTTAAAAGGCAGAGGCGCAGCGGGGGGGGTCCCTGTGTGAGTGGGGACTGCTTGAGGCCCCACTCGCACCGTTTCTCCCTCTGCGCCC